TCTATATGCATAGCTAAAGGCTACATAACAAGCAACAATGCCAGATGGGAGATACCTTCTTTTGAGTTGTTGGCCAGAGTGACCAAAGGGATTCCCAAATAGTAACCCAGCATAGAACTGGGGAAATGAACAGCAGACCCTAATCTTATCAAAAGGAGTATTGATAACTGATTGCTGCTAGAAGAGGAACAGCTGACCTTCCTAAAACAAAGACCTCTAGACAGGCTGACTAGATTCACCAAAAGGGCAAATAGTGGGGAATGGCTGGGGGTGCCGACAACACAGCAGATAGTAGCAGGGATATCAGAGTATAAGGGCTGTAGTTGGGGGAGGGAGGCTATGGGAGGGCGCCATCTGGGAAGTGGGTGTATAGTCGAATGAGATGGTTTGAGATGTTCTATGTGATATACACACACACAAAAAAAAATCAAATTTTAAAAAAATGTATTATTTTTGAGGAGGAAGCATGGAAATTTACATCATGCTAATTAGTAGAGGTGATAAACAATACCATTGAAATCTACCTGATGACTTTATGGACATTCACAGGCACCAAGGGTCCAAGTGCAATCAATTATGACTAGTAATAATCAGATACATACAGATTAGAGATGCAAGCACCAACATCTCAGTGTTAGTAGCAAAAACAATGAGTCTTTAAGGAACAATATATTCTAAAATGAAATGGAGATCTTTTTAAAGGTTAAAAACTCATCCAAGTTTATGTTTTACAGGGCTTATACTGAGTTCAAAAATATATAACTATATTAATTCAACTGTGAACCTAGAAACTTGCACCCACTTGTGAAAGAGATGTACTCTTACACTGGAGTGTGTTACTGAATATGTTAAAGCTGTAGTGAAAAGCTTCTTCTAATCATGTAGTCATTATAAAATTTAAAAAATATAATGATTAAAAAAAGTCTTCAAAGCATAAAAATTTGCTCCTTAATAATTAGTAGATGTGAAAAACATTATCGTTGAAATCTACCTGATGACTTTTTATCCATGCTCAAATGCCAAGGAGCTCAGAAAGTAACCGACTGTGACTAGTAATAATCTGATATATAGGGATTAGAAACACATGTGCAAACATCTTAATGTCAATTGCATTATAAATGAATTTTTCTGTATGAAACTGTGTATTTTAATAATGAAATGGAGATCTTTTTAAAAGGTTAAAACCTCATTTGATT